TTTTTTGCAGTTTTTGACCAGGGCTGGGCTTGAACCCACTACCTCTGGCATATGGATCCAGCGCCCTGCCCTTGAGCCACAAGTGCCACCCATTCTCAAGGTATTTTTAAGGAGCTAACAAGATGACATTAACAAGGAATATTAAGACTTAACCCTACCCCCAAATATGGAGCACTGGTATCAGCCATATATGCCTTATCTCATTTATTTTTTACAACTTTTTTTTTGAGACAGTTTCACTATGTTGCCCTCGATAGAATGCTATGGCAACACAGCTCACAGCAATCTCCAGCTCTTGGGCTTAAGCGATTCTCTTGCCACAGCCTTCGGAGTAGCTGGGATTACAGGCACCCGCCACGACACCCAGCTATTTTGTTGTTGTTGTAGTTTTGGTTGTATTGATGTTTGGCAGACCTGGGCCAGGTTCAAACCTGCCAGCCCAGGTGTACATGGCCGGCACCCCAGCTGCTTAGTTACAGGTGCCAAGTCTATTCTTCACAACTTTTAAACTATTAACAGTGGGTACTACTTATCATCTATTTCCTGGATCAAAAAATAATGCACAGAAATAACTTAGGGTGGCACCTGTGGCTCAGTGGATAGGGCACTAGCCCCAAATACCGAGGGTGGTCGGTTTGAACCCGGAACCAGCCAAACTGCAACAAAAAAATAGCCAGGCATTCGGGCAGGTGCCTGTAGTCCCAGTTACTTGGGAGGCTGAGGCAAGAGACTCACTTAAGCCCAGAGTTGGTTGCTATGAGCTGTGCCATCACAGCACTCTACCAAGGGCAATATGGTGAGACTCTGTTTCTTTAAAAAAAAAAAAAAAAAAGATAGAAATAATAATTTATAACAGGATATAAAACAACAAAGTCGAGTTAGAAGACTTAATCACTCTTACTACTTGAATTATTTCTGATTTTTACCTGATTTATGGGTTAGAAGTTTTAAGAAAGATTCTACCAAAAATCTTTGTTTCGCTAATATAGCTTGATTTCTACCTTTTACTTATTTCAATTGCAATTTCCAATGTTATGTTATTCAAGGTGAGGATTAGGGTTACTATCTAGAAGCTTAAGATAGCAGTTTCTATGAAATCAACAAAAAAAGAAAACAGCTGAAGCACCAAAAGCTCAAAGACCTCTGGTTATGACTTAAATGATGTCGAGTACAAATGCAGTAATAATGACAACAAAGGTAACCACTTTTATTTCCAAATCAGAGAAGCTGGCAAAAATATATTCTCAGGGCTATTATCTTTATTTTGGTTGGATATTAATGTATTTATGAGAGGAAAGCTTTACAAATCAATTAGAACACACATAAAAATTCCTTTATTCAAGAAACCTAGGACGAGGCCTGCATTACAATTAATGAAGGCCAACAGTCTTAAGGTTTAATTATCTCAATTGGGAAACAAGCAGAATGAAATTATGAGACGGGGTTATCAGAGTAGCTACCACTAATCCATTAACATTTAAGTTACATAATAGACTTTTACATGGTTTAACCCCTCTTGTCCCTGACATTAAAACGAAATCTTAGGAGTAAATTATTTTTACCTTCTATTTTGGCATCTATTTACACTGAATAATGACAACTTTGTACAAATATATGTTCATTAATAAGCAGCTTTTTGACTAAAGAAGAGTATAAGAATAATTTACAGGTGACAAGCCATATGCATAAGAATTTGTTAAAATACTTTTGCTAGAAATCCTATTGTGAATGTGTTGATTCCTTGAATGTATATAAAACAATAAAATGTCAATGTGGGGCATTTCCTTGTCTCAATGAATAAAAAAATCTATTTTCAGCAAATTAAGGAAGTTATTTCAAGTAAATGGGGAGGGGGGGCGTACAGTGACTTATACCTGTGATCCCAGCACTTTGAGAGGCCTGGGTGGGAGGACTGCTTGAGACCAGCCTGGGAAAGAGAGCAAGACCTCATTTCCAAAAAAAAATTTTTAAATAAAAACAGATGATTGGGGTAAATTACACTTATTAACACAAACTTGAAAGCATGAATGAAAAATGGGTCACTTATTTATAAAAATAAAGTAAAATCCTATCTTAAATCTAATACCTTCCAACAACATAATAATTAACATCTTTACAGCAGAACTAATAAAAGTAGGAAGTATCTGACTATATGCCCCAAGAAAGTTCAGGTGCCATGATTCAAACACTTTATCACCTGTGGATTAAGGCTGTACCAATAGAAAAAGCAATGAGAAAATCTAGGCATGCCATGGTCCTTGCTCATCTGCACTGTAGGATAACACCTAGGACACTATGGTAAGCTCTGGTTATTAACTTGAAACCAGGGGATTATGAAACCAGAAATTACAGCATGAATTATACTACCCAGGGAAATGGAAATTTCTTCTCACAAAATTTGGGGACCCAAGAAGACAAGTATTTGGGGAAGTATTAAAAAGAAAATTCGATAAGCATTTTTTCATATGTTTATTAGCCATTTGTCTGTCTTCTTTAGAGAAGGTTCTATTCATGTCTCTTGCCCATTGTACATGGACTGTTGGCTTTTTCATGTGGATTAATTTGAGTTCTCTATAGATCCTACTGATCAAGCTTTTGTCTGATTCAAAATATGCAAATATCCTTTCCCATTGTGTAGGTTATCTGTTTGCTTTGGTTCTTGTCTCCTTAGCTGTATAGAAGCTTTTCAGTTTCATTAAGGCCCATTTACTTATTTTTGTTGTTGTTGCAATTGCCGCAGCAGTCTTCTTCATGAAGTCTTTCCCCAGGCCAATATCTTCCACTGTTTTTCCTATACTTTCTTTGATAATTTTTATTGTTTCATGCCTTAAATTTAAGCCCTTTATCCATCTTGAATCAATTTTTGTGAGTGGGAAAGGAGTGGGTCCAGTTTCAGTCTTTTACATGTGGATATCCAGTGCTCCCAGCACCATTTATTGAATGGGGAGTCTTTCCCGCAAGGTATGTTCTTGTTTGGTTTATCGAAGATTAGATGGTTGTAAGATGTTAGTTTCATTTCCTGGTTTATATTCGATTCCAAATGTCTGTGTCTCTATTTTTGTGCCATCAGGTCAAGACCATGATGTCTTGACCACTATGGCTTTGCAGTACGGTGATGCCCCTAGCTTTGTTTTTATTACTAAGAACTGCCTTATGTACACCATGGAGTACTATTCAGTCATTAATAAAAATGGAGACTTAATAGCCTTTGGATTAACACGGACGGAAGAGGCACACGTTATTCTTAGTAAAGCATCACAAGAATGGAAAAGCGTGAATCCTATGTACTCAATTTTGATATGAGGACAATTAATGAAACAGTGGGGGCAGGGGAAGGGGAGAGCCGAGAGAGGAAGAAGGAGGGAGGGATGGGGAAGGGAATAGCAGGGAGAGGGGGGTGGGGTCATGGTGTGTTCCACACCTTTTGGGGGCAAGACATGATTCTAAGAGGGACTTTACCTAACAAATGCAATCAGTGAAACCTGGTTTCTTGTACCCTCAATGAATCCCCAACAATAAAAAAATAAATAAACCTTGATACAACTAATATAAAAAAAATTAGAAAATCAAGAAGGTTTTAAAACAGAAGATTACTGAGGATACTTTCAATTAAGTGTGTTTCTACCGCAAAATAAACAAGTTCTCTCATACTACATCTAGCTAGCTAAATCATTACCTTTCCTCCTGTTGTCACTGTTTCTTCATCTTGCTCATCTGCAAAATTGAAACACATAATTTATTTTAAAAACAATTAAATGCTGTTTGGATTAGTGGACTTTGTAATCTAAGGACTGACATAGGACAGAGAAAAGAAATAAAGAAGAGCATTATTAAAGCAAAAATCGCCCTGAATAATTCAGTAAGTTAGCCTTTTTTACACAAAAGCACAGGGGTGATTAAAAATTCGAAGCAAAGATCATTTAAAATTTCCAACAGGGAATTTAAATTAATTACTGCTTAAACATTATAGTCATCATCTTATTTAATAACAGGTAAGGAACTTGATTATAGAGTTTTTGTCTCCCTCCATTTGGTGCAATAAAGTAATGACAATTTGGGTTCTAGAGGAAATGAATTAAAGAATGAATAGTAAAGAGAGGTGAAATCCCTGCAGACAAAGTCCTAAAAAGAGTGTTAGTAACTTCTGAGAAGACTAAAAACCTAATGGTTTGCACCTTGCAAAGACCAAGAGAAAATATATGTAAAATTTAAGCCAGGCAGCTGATTTCTATAACGAAACCCAAAAGCACCACTACAGAAAGGGTAAGAAATTACTGAGCAAATAATTACATGGCTGTAACATTTAAGTTTTTAATTATTAGTATGACCCTTGGTAGGGACTATAACATGAAGCTCAAAAAGAACATTATTAGGATACGGGATAAAGCATGGGCGTATAGTCCCAACTACTCAAGAGGGTCATTTGAGTCCTGGAACTGGAGTCCAGCCTAGGGAACATGAGAACCCACCACTTTTTTTAAAAAAGGGAAGTCCTTCTTTCATTTATGTATTTATTCAATACACAGTGCCAAAAACCTATTTGAAAAGCAATTCTGGAAGGCAAGGGTGAAAGGATCACTTGAGGTGAGGAATTCAAGACTAGCTTGGGCAACAGAGATCAACTTCGTCTCTACAAAATACTAAAAAATTAGCCAGTTGTGGGCTCAGCACCTGTAGCTCAGTGGCTAGGGCACAGGCCACATACACTGGGGCTGGCTGGTTCAAACCTGGCCTGGGCCTGCTAAAACAACGACAACTACAACAAAAAAACAGCCAGGCATTGTGGCGGGCGCCTGTAGTCCCA